GCCACCCCTTGAGTAGGAATTTCATGGAAAACTCGGGAATTGATAATGGCATCAGGATCCAAAGCCTTATCCACAAGCTCTTGCGTAGGATCTGCCACTGGGGCTTGAATCGGCAATGCATTGATTGCAGCAGTTTTACTGCATAATCGCATGCGCTTGGCAGGAGGCTGATTCATGGCTGCAGGGTTAGAAGTAGAATTCTTAGCCTTTTCAGCTTCCAATTGGGCCTGAAGGTCTGCAATTCGCTGACTCTGATCTGCAAAAGACGATGAACCCGAAGCACTTCCAGCAAAAGGACGAAGCGTATCCATGATATGATTGGACAACGCAAGAGTTCTAGCTGCCTTTACCTCGTCCGAGCTCATAGAGCTCTTGATGGAGACTTTGTCTGGATTCTGTCTACAGTATTCAGCAGAAACCTCATCGAGGTCCCATCGGCTTTCTCTCACAGAACTGAGAAACTGTGACGTGAGTACAGACTCGCTAACGCGGCGTGCGATGACGACTGAAACATATTGTCCATGGCTTAACGCGCGGAGATGGTTGTTTCTCCATCCCTTCCATACTAAGTCAGTGACACGCAAATCAGCAAGCTCACGGCCTGCCAGGCGATATTTTGTTGCCCAGCTTGTAGCCGCTACGCGTCGCAACATAGTCTTACCGTAGATCTCTTTGGTGTCTAGATGAGTTTTGTCTGGCTTAAACTCATCCGGCAACCCTTCAACAAAGGGCACTCCAGTTGGGGATCCGTAGTCCCACTGTTGTTGCTCACTCCATTCACTCTTCCTCTTCTCAGGAGTTTGCCATCCCGAAGAGGTCCAGCTGTTGTTGTTGGAAGAGTGCGAATTGGATGCCCATGACGTTGATTGCCAAGTTTTCCACGACATGCTAAGCAACGACGCGCAGTTGAAAAGGGAAGACTGGGGCCCGATGCTTGAGATCACTGCAAAAACACAACAAGAAAAAGGACAAGAAAGGAAACAGAAGCATTTTGGATTCTGGCAAACCTGCTTACAAGATATACGAAGAAACTACTCCGGAGGCTCAAAGGTCTTTTCTGGCTCTCAGGACATAAGAACAATCCACTCAATCTTGGCAAGATCTACTCGAATTGCCCAACGTTTGTCGGTGGCTTTGCTACGCACTAAGCCAGCGCGAGTAGCTAAATTCAGCTCTACCCAGGTGGAAGACCAAGGGTACCTGGTGTGGCCACCGACTATGCATCCACTCAGCATTACTCCAGACTGCTGCTTCGCATGGTTGAAAAGAGCTGAACACTGCAAGACGATCTCCTCAACGGTCTGTTGTTGGTCCGTATGCTTCAACAACGAAAAGAAAGCGGAGACCGGGTAGTCCAGCGGTAAGCCCATACGGTCAGTTGCACTGGGCAATATAACTCCTGTTTTGAGTATGCCCAAGAGTCCCTGCGGACTCGTCATGTGGTAAAACTGATAATATGTTTCGCCTGTAGCACGTTGGGTGTTAGGGCCCGGGAAGTTTCTGGTGCGTAGAGCCCAGATAACTCTGCCGCTTGCAGTCGTAAAAGAGCGGCCGGATGAAACGAGGCTAGCAGGTTGGTACCCCAACGTATGCATAACACGAGAAAAGGTATCCACCACTTTGTCACGATGTTCATGAACTTGGCCATACGTTGAAAGTAACTCATGAAGCCAGCGGGGCCATCGTGTCAACTCACTCTCCGTAAACTGCTGCATGCGCTCAAACTCTTGCTGAGTAAACTGCTTGCGCTGATCCATAGTACGAAGCTTTGCAAACTCGAAAGGATAGAAGAGGCCTTTGGGAACCTGTGTGGCTGGGAGTTGTCCCAATGCCGGCCAATCGTAGTTCAGCGGTATCATACTGGCAAGCCGAATGGAGTAGGACAAGTCGTCCTCATCCGGGTTTTGCGCCGGATAGGATTTGGGCGCTCCCTTCTTGTTGTTTATGGTGTCATCCAGTACCCAGGACGACGACGCAGTACTCAAAGAGCTAGGCGGTGGTATACTAACATTGGAAGCTCTCTGCAGAAAACCTGTGATATTGCCGGCTGAAGAATGAAAAGGCGAAGACGTCGGTGCAATCACTCGAGGCATATGTCCAGCACTACCGCAGAATGTGGTGTTTGTGGTGGTGGCGATGGTTGGTGTTGGTGGGGGTGGTGGTGGTGGCGGTGGTGGTGGAGGTGGTGGAAACGGTGGAGGTGGCAATGGAGATGTAAGACTTGTGAAGTCGATGGTGGGTGGATGACTGGTATGGTGAAGTGGCGGCTGAGGGCTATCTGCTCGTAGATCTCCCGGTGGTAAATCTTGTAGTGCCAGAGTTACACTTGGCTCTGCATTCTGGGGTTCCGGGGTGCGAAAGTTTGCACCAATCCACTGAGAAGGCGGGTAGCTCTGCTGAATATTGTACGCTTCACGTGAAGGCCGCGAAACAGACTCTGAACATCTTTCTACAGCTTTGGGACCAATCCAGCGTCCCGGTGGCTCCTCAAAGGACCTGCTTCGATGACGTCTACTCCGTGAACGGCGTTCACGGTGTCTCGGTTGATCAGACAAAGCTCGAAGATGTTCCGTGGTACGAACATTGTGAGCAGCAGCTGCCGTCTCGTAAAAATGAAAGTTGAACACAGGAGCCATGGCACTCAAAACTGAAAGCCAAGTAATGTTATGTAGATGACACGTGAGAAAGTGTAACGGTGAGGTAAATGTTGATGAAACCAGGAAGATGAGAACATAACCTTGTTGACAAGCCCATGCTTCACAAGCAGAAAAATCTGTATGCCATGAGACAATCAGATCAAGTGTCTCCCGAAAAAAGCTTGCATTCGAGCTGCATGTTTTGTCGTTGCGGCAAAGTTACTCTGATCCTTGCAGGCTGAGAGCGATTAGCTAAAACTCAGCAAAGACGAATTAGCTGCAACATGCTCTACGGAGTGCGACTGCGTTTGCGCTTGCGAACTGGTGAAGCATTCTCACTCACAGAAGAGCTCACGGGAGTCTCAGCAGAAGTTGCTGTTTGAGTACATTACCAGGTCGCACAGGTTCGGGACTGTGGGAATTCGTAGAGGTGGACTTCAGATTAATCCGTAGACAGCTAGGAGCGCAATCATTCTCAAGAGATATTCATCTTGCGCATACGATGTTCATCTGCCAGAGGACTTCATATGTTTTCTGCGTCCGGATGTTTTCATCAGCTGGGAGCATTCACATCTCATCGTTCGGTAATTTTAAGCGTTAGATGTAGACTGAAGTCCACTATTCAGAAGGAAGACAGGGACTCAGGGAGTATTCATCATTCCCCCGCAGACCGAGGGGCCGGCAGCGCTTTGGCAGAATTACTACCGGGAATCACACACATACCCAGTCTGAGCTGGTTGTCTCGAATCGTCATCTTTCTCTTCACGCTTCGAATTGTGCACTCTTTCTGTACCGCTTCGACAAAGGTGGTCTTCAGAGCTTCAAAATTACTGGAATGTCTTCAGATGCTCTACAACTTCTTAGAATTGGGTTACACAAGTCCGTCTGTAGTCTCAAGACTACATGCTCACGCAGATGTCTTCTTTTCTGACATCACTGCAGGTACGTCAGTCCAGCGTCCCAGACTGATTTCAGTGCCTAGTCAGAGCCTCTTCGTTGGGCAATCACTCTGACTGGGCAGATTGCCCCCCTGCATTCAACATTACTCGCTATCTCCGATGGTCTTCAAAGATGAAAAGTCTTCAAAAAGTCTCTTCCTTAGAAACAGGAATTCCACACACACACACACAGAGGATTGAGACTCTGCCCACCCAAGAAGACAGTATAAGGCACACGGGCGACCCGCTTTGGTGCCTGCCAGGTGCTTCAGGAAGCCGATGTCCCGAAACTGGCTCCCTGGCTCCAGTCCAAGGCGTGCCTGGGGCGGCAAGAAGGAAACGGCAGAGGCTGCGAAGCTCGAGAGAGAGAGAGAGCCGAGAGCCCCTCTTCCGCAGCCAAGCGGCTGCAGCAGCCTGTACGTCATCGACTGCCAAGCCTATCTTCCAGTAGAGGTCGTCCTTGCTGGGGGAGTACGAGACCTGACCGGGCTCCCGCGCGCGCGCGCGCGCCCGCGCGGGAGCCCCCAGCTGGACTCCCAAGACCGTTGATCAGTTAGAGGAAGGCAGTCCGCCGCGTAAAAAAGTGGAGCTCCGGGCCTTCGCCGTGTCCTCCGCTACCAGGCGCACGGCGCAGCTCCTCGTTTTCTCGGGCACCCGCAGCTCCCGGAGTTTCGGCTCCAAGTCGACTTCGACCATGCCCAGGCTCTTCCTGCAAGTAACACCAGTCTGGTGTCCATCTATTTCTGTAGTAATTAGACCGAAGCCTGTTTTCAAAAAGCACCCATAGGGGCCTAGGGACCCAGTTCCGCCTTGAAGGAGGCCGCACTGGAGGCTTGGAAGAGCTATGCGGCTACTGCCATCGATCGGCCGCCGTGTACCCAACCTGTCGTTCAAACCCCGAAGGCTCCTGTAGAACTCCGACGTGGCGTGAAGCCGCGCTGGGGCGATGCGGAGGACGCAAGCGGCCAACATCGGGAACACAACCCGGACGAACGGCCCTACGGAGCCCTGAGCCCTATGTCCTGCTTTGCCCAACTGGGTGGGCAAAGCTCGGAGTTCCTTGAGCCGAGTGCAATCAGCGCGGAGGCAGAGCAGTGCAGAGCAGTGCAGAGCAGCGCCGCGCATGAAGCTCAAGGCTCAAGGCCTCAAAAACCTTTCACACAAAGCCCGCAGAAGCCCCGAGGCCTTCAGAGCCAAGCTCGCCGCCGCATGGCCAAACGCGAGGCGATGGGAGGACACAGGTACTTGTTTCACCAAAGCCATGGAGCTATAAGCAACAAGAGTGAGCGCTCTGACTGTCTTCGGAAGAAGCTGCAAAGTGGGACTATGTATGAGCTTCGGAAACTGCGACCTCTGCGGCGGACCAGGCAACACTTCGCTGATCCGCGCTGCACTCGCCCAGAACGAAAGGAGCGGTCGTGCCCGCCTCCAGCTGCGGCCTTCGGAAGCATTGCAACACACTTTATCTGGGGAGTAAGGAACACAGGAACACGTGTAAGGCATCGAGCCATGCAGCTATCTGTGTAGCTACCTGCCGCTCTGAGTCCATGCACACAGGCGCGAACACACATATGTATGCATGCATGCAGGTACGAGTATGTACGTATGCAGCTTGCAACTTTGAAAGCAGCTACGTATGTATGTATGTAGGTATGTAAGTATGTCGGAATGTATGTATGTCAGATTTGTAACTCTGAGTTGTATGAAGGCATGCATGCCTCTACGTGTGTCTATGTTGCGCCAAGTCAGAATAGCTTGCATCATGCTGTGCTGTCTGACCACAGCACACATACAAGAACCTACATTGTCTTGGTGGATCTATTTTTGCAGCGCTACACAAAACGGTTTCACAGAGCAAAACTTTCCCGCTGGCTTGGGCTCCAGCTCGACCAGCTGGTGCGCCTTGCAAAGGTTACGAGTAGCTCCCCCGACACGGAGGGAATTCAAACAGAAGATCCCTCGTTGCTGAAGCTCCAATGTCACAGAACACTCCCTAAACTCGACGGAAACCTTAAACGTGACAACAGGTCCAGAACAGAGCTGTGCATTGCATGCAGTGAAGCCCGAAAAACGCAACAAACCTTTAAACCCTCAACCCGCAACCCCAACAAACTGACCCGATACCCTAAACCTGCCAAAAACAAACTGATGCTTGGCTCCACCTCGGACCGCATCTCACTGCTTGGCTCCTGCTAGAGGGCTCATCGAAGCACTTAAACGTTGACGACAGCTTCGATGTCCTTGCCTTTGCATCACCTATCTTAACATCTGCGATCCTTCCTGGTACCATCCTTCATGGTATAGAGACCCCAAGAAAGGCAGTGATCAAGAAGATGGATGCAAAAAAAGATTCTAGGGTTTTGGAGGGGTTAGGGCTTGGGGTCTCACGACTCGCTGAGGCCTTGCAGGTCTCGCTGCTCTCCGACTGAAAGCTCGCTTGCCACTCCTCCAGCATTGAACGCGCACAGGCATAGGTGTTTCTTGTATAAGAACAACCGGTATTCTGGTGATACTTCCATCAAGGTCGAAGGGTTTAAGGCTAGGGGATGTAGGATCCAACCTGACTCAGACATCTGTCGAAGCTCAAAGGGGAGACCTCAAACTTTTGCCGCCATCGCTTCTCAGCGCGCTCCTCAGCCTGAGTCGGCACATAAAATCCCCCACTGCGTGCACTTGTTAGAGGGGGCCTGCTCCTTGATCCGTCCATGTGTGTTTGAGGCGCCGTTTTTTTGGAAGCATCCTAGCACTTCGGGTGTTTGCTTTCAGGCCCCTCGTTATTTCTGAAATTCTGCAGTTTGGCACTGTGCAGCTCAACATGCCGCAGCACCGTGCTGGAATGGCCACTAGGTTTTGTCGCCGTCCAGGCGTAGCATGTGCAATGATGCGCAACGGCCAGAAACTTCTCACGGAGGCACAGAAACTTTTTTTTCGATTTTTGACGAGTCTCAGGACAGCTTTGCCATCTGGAACATGCTTCCTCGCAGCCCGACATCAAGGATTCAGCTTGCACGTCTAGACCCGAACAGCTGATGATGTCCACGCCACTGCTGGCTGCTAGACGGAACATGCAGTCTCCGAAGGTCAAATCTGGGCGCCGCTCTTGTCGTCGATCTGAACTTCAAACTTGTGCTGACTCCTTGCTCTCGCTCCAGAGATGCATCGGCCGTGTTCAAAGCCCATGCCATTCTCCCGACTACCGCGAGGTTGCAACCGTCGGTTCCTGAGGGCAAAGCTGGCATCCTTGGAGAGTCTAGGCCCCAGGGCACGGCAGCCAGCTGGACCTGGTGACATGTCGGCGAGCTTTTGGTGTCCAGTCGAACCGCCCGGGGCTTCAGACGAAGCGTCTGACAGCTGCTCGCGCTCGATTTCGAGCTGCCAAAAGATAGGCACGGATGCGCACTGAGTTCCTGGAGGCAGCTGGTGAAGGACGTGTCGGCGGGCTTTTTGAAGCAATGTCCCTCGGAGTCCCGCCAGCTTGAAGACGTTTGGCTAAGCAGGGGGTTGTGCTGCAGAAGGTCTGGCCCGAAAAACAGCCAGAGAGGCGTCTTGAACTCTGAGCCTTGCGTCTTGATCCCCAAACCCGAGTTAACCCCGAGTCCGAAAATCCGCTCAGCAGTTTTTGTATATGCAAGGAGCCGCCATTCAGATTACGAGAATCGCCGTTCTGTCAAAGCTTCGTCAAACGAGACAGCAGGCCCCAAGCCCACGGAAAGAATGCCACATCGCAGGAGGTTTGTCTTGCGCCACGCTTCTTCCGCGGTTTGGCGGCCTCTGGCTATCTAGTTCACGAAGCCTGCCGGGAAGGCCGGGAAGGTCGCGAAGCAGGCGCTCCATCTCAGGTGATCGTCTGTATGCAAAGACCATAAAGTCGAGATTCGCAGCAAGGTTCTGCTCGCCGCGCCGAAGTGGCTTCGGCCGGCTGAGAATTCAAAGAAGAGCCGACGAGGGTTCTTCCAGTCGCGAGCCGTCGAGAGAAGCTGAAGCTGGGAGCCCTCAATGTCCATTGTCACGATCGTGTGCTGGTTCGCCAAGGCTTTCCACTCAAGCCTGCCTCGTCTGCAGCTCGGCTGGTACTGGGTTAGGAGTCGGCGCCGGAAATGACCCGTTGAAGATGCTAGGAAGTGGCGCAGCCGATGTGGCCAAAACATCCGTCCGTCCCCGCTTTGGGCGGAGATCAACTTGGCAGTTCCCGGAAGGAGAAAGGCCCCCTTCCAAAAAGCCGTCGTGCATGATGTGTCTGTTAGTAGACGAGAGAACGTTTTGGGAAGACCACTCATCCGAGGAAACACTGCCAGTCATGCGCACGTTCTGTCCGCATTCGTCAAGGACTCCTTGATTTGCGAACGTCTTGTCTCCAGACGTGAGATTGTTCGAATGCTGGACTTAGCCAGGGAGGAGGCTTCAAACATGCAAAAGAAACTTGAAGGAGCCTCCTTTACTGGAGCCGAGAGTAACCCCCACCCACCTGTAAGAGGCGTCGCCAATCCTTCCAAAGCGAGAAGCTGTGAAGAAAACCTCTGGCAGTGCCGTCAGACGAAATTATCCGCTGTTGCGCTCCTTCGCCATGCAGGCGCTATGCAGGAGCTGGCAACCACATCCATGGTGAGTGGAAGGAGCTCACCGCATTTCCAGTTGCAACAACGCGAGCGCAGCTACTTCAAGAGCAGCGAAAGATCGCGGCGTGTTTGACCTTCAGCCATGAGCAGTGTCATAGAGCTGAGCAAGCTTCCCACCGGCAGTGTCAGAGAAGCGCTTCTCGCTTCTCCTCTCGCCCTTGAAGCTTTGTAGAAGAGCTACGCGGATCCGACCGACTCCCTGCAGTCTCAATTCCAGGAGGCGTAGCGAAGCCATGCAGCTACAGAGGGCCCTTCACACTCTTGAGGCTGGCGACTTCACAAGGGCCCAAGGTGCTGACATGGAGTCTGCGGAGCTTGCAAGCAAGTGCCCCAGCCCAGGCCTTTTGGCGCTCTTCCTGGAGCCACTCCTGCGCCTGGCGGAAGCTGCACACGGCAGCCTGCACTTTGCGGCCTCGCCGACTCCGATCGGCCTTGGCGTCACCACGCCGTGAGGACTTCGTCTGCGGCAGCACCTGCGCAGGGACGACAAAGAGCTGCAGAGCCGCGCACGTCCCGCATGCAACGCGACCTTCTTGCAGAGGTTCTCCCGGGCCTCACCTCCGGCAAGGAATCGCAGTCTTGGACCACCGCCCCCCCCCGCTCGCGTGCTCGTTGCGGCAGCTCCTCCGTCGAAGGAGACGTCGTAGGTCTCCTTGAGGAACTGTGCCTCGGCGCTCGCGGCTCTTTCTGGCCTCCCGGGCCACCCGTCCCAGTGCTGGCCTTCGGCTTCTCTCGCGGTGCACCTGTGAAAATCAGCGCCTTTATGCCTTCGCTTCACCGACCCCCGCTTAGCACCTGGAGAGATCTCGGGCAGCAGGCTCATGGCTCGACTACGGCGTTGAGGTTAACGAACTGTCCTTCACATAAACTGACATCCTGGCCGGACCTGCTTCGAGTCCGCCGATTATCCCAGCAAAGGGATGCGTGGGCCGTGCCCGGGGCAGGATCCAAATTGCAATCGTGCCGTCGGTGTTTGCAGTTCGATCTTTGAACTAATCTGCTTCCGGGTTTTTTGCTTTTTTTGCTTCCGGGTTTAGGGCCTAGAGCTGTTGCTTTGGCAGCGCTCTTGTGGTGTCATGCGCATGCTCGGCACTTGAAGGCAGGCGTCCATGACATGCACCTGCCTCGGAAAAGAAATTGCTTCGCACGTACCGCGCATTGCTGGGCTCTTGCAGGCCGGCAAAACTCAAGAGTTGGTGTCGGGGTCCATCATCACCGGGTTTTGGGGTGAAGATGGAGGGGTTTCAGACGGAAGGCGTGATACTCTGGACTTACCTGACACCGACCTTCTGCACCTAAGATCATCCAGCTGCTTGTGCTTGGCGTGTAATCTGATGCGGAATCTAGGATCGAAAATCTTCAGACTGCGTCAGGAGACAAGATCTGTAACCCTGAATCTCTGTTACCCTTTTTGGGCCAGGTGCCGCGAGAGCTCCTTTTCGACGAGCCCAATCCTTCTTCCCTCAGGCTTCGTCATCAGGGACGTCGAAGGTCGGGCGACAACAGGACGGGCTGTCGCTTGGATGCCGCCTGGGAACTGCAGCACCGGATCCTCAGAAGAGGCAGTCTTGCGCGAATTGGCGCCTTTTCGGCACACTCCACGACAAGCTCCTCCTGCTGCTAAGCGACCTGCTGCGGCATGTAGCCGACAAACATAGCTGCCTAAAGACCGAATGCCGGGATGCTTTCTTCAAAAGCTGGTGTAGCTGCGCTTGCGACCGGTGAGGCAACAAAGTCAAAACTGGATCGAAATGAGATGCGTCATCACCAGAACAGACTGAGGTAAACTGTGCAGTCGCAGCATGATGGCTGCAAACAACGCCAACACCAGCATTGCCGGCTCTGTTCCTCACGCCAGCCAACATCTCATCTGCGTATTGAGCTCTAGACATTTGACCATGTAAGATTTTCCTTCACATCCGAGGGATGGCCTTTCCGGGTCCTCGCTTTTCAGCTCTTCGGTTTAGGGACAGCCAAGGCCAACAGCCAAAGCCCTTTCCCATCATCTTCCCAAGGATTCCCTCAAATTTCAAACATCTCATCCGCGAGTCAGAGGCGCTCCGGGGAGCTTTCCGGCGGGAAAGGTAAAGCCCAAAGCCGAAAGAGAGAGGGCGCGCACTGCAGGCACAGAAACAAAGACGGTGGGCAAGACAAGGATGGGAAAACTAGACCTTCCTTGGACCAAACCATCAAAATTTCACAAGACTGCAGCGACTCGTCGAGCCTCATCACTTTTTTCGAAAGGCCTCCTCAGGTGTCAGGAGGTTCAGTACCTGACATCGAGGTTGCAGCCACACTAAATTCCACGCTCAAAACACAACGGGGCACATCACCGCGGGAGATGTGGTCCTTTGGCAAAGACTCTCTGGTTTTAGAGCTCGGGGCAGCTGGGGCTGGGTGGGATTGCAGCCCGTCTTTGGCTGCAAGCTCCACGGACACAGGCAGTCCTGGTTGACGTGTGCTCGGTAGTTGCTCGTCTCGGGGTTCAAGGAAGCCTGAACGCTGCAAGGCGACACGCGCGGCGACAGCGCGGGCGACAGCGCGGGCGACAGCCGTGGCCATGCTGTCCATGCGGGCCATGCGGGCCTGGACGATTTCGTAGCGAATCATGTCCGTGCCCGACTTCAAGTCGTCGACCTGCTCGGGGCAGCCCGCTCCCCCCCCCTCTTTGCACAGAACATAGCCGGAAATGCAACACAGCTCCCAGACCAAATCCGAAGCGGAAGCAGCAACGGAAGAGCGGCACAGGGCAGCTCCCGGCCAGAAGATCCTCGGACATCGAGGACGCGTGCTTCCGGAGCATCCGGGCGGTCTCCGCCCTGGCGGCGCAGAGCGTGGGAGAGCAGGCGGGCTGGCAGCGGGCTTGGGAACCTCCGGCCTCAACTGTCGCTGCGCGAAGGCGTCGTTCGCAAAGGTCGCTTGCACGGCTCGGCAGAAGTCCCGGTACCTGCACAGCTGCAAACGACGAGCACACTTCTGTGTTTCGAGCCGCAAGGGCACGCTGAGGCCACGCGAAGAGATCTAACCGCCATTGCACAAGTCTGGGAACAAGACGAACAATTTGCATGTAGCTAAGGTTGCTTACACATACTTGCCTTGAGCTGGCTGTCATGTCATGTTGTGTGCTTCATGGTACTCAAGCTGTTTTCTGAAACCAGTGACGAGTGGTGAAGCTTCAGTGAACAAGTCGGCTCTGCGTGCTCGATATAGTTTCTGGCACGGACCAGGAGACCATCGTCCTCACCAGATCTTCGTGCTGTACAGTGTGGCGGCCGTGCAGCTAGGCAGCCTGTCTGCATCAGAAGGCGCCCTGGCATACCAAAAAGATACGGCAACCGGTTAACCGCTTTCGTTGAGGGCATCCGGACCCAGCCGCGACGGTCCTAGGTCCTGACACCAGCTCAACTTGCCGCTCAGAAGATCTCTACAAGGTCACAAATTGGAGTGCGCTGCGCAAGATGTCCTGCGCCGCACCTGTGCAAGGGCTCGCCGCATGAAGACTGCCACAGGTGGGCAAAACAGCTGCGAGTTCAATAGGCTTCACGCCCCGGGTCAGCGGAGTGCGGGCATGCTCGGCCGGCCAGCCGGCCAGCCTCCAAGCCGTCGCACAAGGCCACCACACCCTTCGTGTAGAGGCATTCTCGGTACTCCTGTAAAGCCTCCTGCAAGCCGGATGTAAGCAAGGGAGTCTTGATGATGACAAAAGCGAAGGACCCCAAAGCTGCCAGGCTCAGCTCCATGATAACCACAGCTCGGACGGCACGGTCCGCAAGATGAGCAGCCTCTGACAGAAGGAGGAAGCCTAGCACAAAGACCAGGCAAACGCGTGTCAAAGCCCAAATCCCCATAGCTACCGTCTGCATCGACAACCTCTGCCGACAGGTGAGGTTGAGGCTGGGGGTCAGAAGTGCGTTGGCAATGCCCAGGCATGCAGCGCTGGAGGCATGGAAGTCGAGCTGAAGGAGGATGCCGAAGATCGAGTCGGGCAGGCCGTACATCAGCGCATGCGTGCAGGCGCAGGAGATGGTGTGGTGCACCAGCAGCGGGACTGCCTGGCAGGAAAGCTTGCTGTTCGGCGCAATCCCCCGAACCCAGAAAGCCTCAAGCCCCAAGCTTTGAACCCGTCTTGAAACCCTAAACCCGCTCTTGCAACACCAGACCTCAAGACCCTGAAGCCCTCAAACCTTGCATCCAGATGTTCCCTAGGATGCGCGGCTTTCTGCCTGCCAGTGAGTGAATGACGCCCCTGTGAAGAGCAACAGAAGGATGTCCAAGGTGCAGTATGCCGGCTCTGCCAAGGTCGCCATGTGGTAGAGAGCGGGAGAACGGTTCCAGGCCGCGGCGAGGAAGCATGTCACCAGCGCACAGTGATACAGGACTTGCGCAGCAAAGCCGTAGTACTTGCCCAAGCAGAAGCCCGACTCGGACTTGAACTCATCCGGAGGAATGATCTTGGGAATCACTCGGTACTTCAGTAGCAGCATGACGATCGAAAGACCTGCCAGCAGCCCGGAGAAGCTTCGCAATCCCAACAGGGGCCGGCCCTTGCAGATTGCACATGACATTCCTGGTTCACGATCGCATGAAGCGCATGCAGGCTCAGGACCCTCAGGACCCAAGGCCACAGAGACACTGAAGGCGAGGAGAATGGTCGCTGCTGCAGAGGCGATCCTTGGCAGCCTCTTGCCCAAGAGAACCAGGCTCTGGGCCCGAGCAGCCAAGCGGGCTTCGAAATCCCCTGCGCGAAACTGCTTGGGGGTCATAGTCATGGCTCTCCTAGCATCAACTCCAGGATCGAGGATCGAGCCCAAAAGATCAGCAGAGACAAGCGCGATGTTTGTTCGCTGCTGTTCGAAGAGAGAGACCACTTCTAGCCATGTGACGTGGTAAAGAACCTCGCCTCTCTCTCTGCCGGAAGCTTCGATCTCTGCTGGTGCTGTTGCATAGTGGACTTCTTTCATCCAAGAGGGAGGGCAGGTCATAGCATCTCATACTGTGTTCCATCTGAAGATGAGTCAGAATAAGCGGCAGACCCCGCCTATCGTCATGCAGACATGACGACACACCTTTGCTTGGAAAAAAAGATAGACTGCAGGGGCCGAAAGGTGAGTCTGACTCATGCTAGTACAAACCACGAACACCAATGCTAAAGCTAATGCAAACCCTCATACTCAAACCTATACCTATAGTAGTCATCATTCGAATACTGGTACGGATACTGTTGATTCGGATATCAATCCTGACCTAATACTTGATAACTGCATGCAACCTTTCACCGGGCCTGCGTTCATCCCACAAGCCATAAAGAGCCCTGATGTTGCCAACACGTTCGTCAGCTGCCACCCAGAAACTCTCCCAACCCCTTCGCCTGTAAACCCTGCAGCGCTGGACCTTTTTGGCCACTTCGGGCCCGAGAGCAGGTTAGGGATGAGCTCGTCACGAAAGCAGCCATCGTTACTAGATCTCGATCTGTTCTTGCATAGTCTCCGCATAGCGGCCAAACAAAACCCGAAATCTCAGGTTGCGTTGGCATGATTCTGCCAAGAAGGTTGGTTGCCGCAACTTTCGTTGCAGCAATGCGGGCAAAAGAAAGCGAAAACACTCGCCGCTAGCGCCTTCCTCCCAGAGACCTCTGCAACTGTGTATATAAACCCAAAGGACATCCTGAAATATCCTGAAATCTCATCTGCATGTATCTAGGACCTTGGGGATAAATAGGATGAAGCATTGAGAGTGTGCAGTAGAGATCTTTCCTGGGATCATGTAGAGTCTTGTTGTTACGTCCATCTGCGAAATGGTGCAGAGATAGTGTTGAGAAGCTCCCATGCCAAGGCCTGACGTATGCCTCCACCCCAATCCCTGTTACTTGGAGCCCTTGGTTGCCCTGAACCCTAATCACTAAACCTTTATCCTTCGGCGAGAAAGGAAAGAAAAGAAGCCAGGCTTTATTCTGACTATCACAGGTCTAGTTGGCCGCAAGCATCGTGGATGTTGGAGCTTGCTTCAACGATTTTTCAAGAGTTCATGAAGGCATTTCACGGTTTCACACAAGGCTGTTTCGAAAGGTTTGGCAATTTTTGTTAGACTGATGCTGGACACGTTCCAAATTGACGAGATCAACTGCCAATCGTCTCATGCATTCTCTGACCACAACATGTGGATGTCTCCAGACTGGGGTTCCGCTTCATACGAGCGCCTTACAGCGCGAGTCCTGTGATTTTCAAGGCGTATAGTACTAGATATACATAGCCACTGTCAAGAACAGCGACTTCGTTTCTTGCGCCGAACTTCAGCAGGTGAACATTCAACATTCCACGGTGCCGCAGCTGCATCGATCCACTGTCGTAGAAGCTTTTAAAATAACGCATTTTAGGCTCATCCACTGGGTGCAGGGATTTGGGGTTCGGATGCATACTTCATGAGAGGGAACTCCCCAGAACAGTCCGAGAGTCCGAATCGAAACTGGCAACTCCGAATCGACTGGAAACACTCAGAAAACCGTTAGGAGGATGCAGCATGATCCCTAGATAGCCCCAGTGGACATGCCTGAAGCCCCATGTTCTTGCAAACTCCATCGACAGCCCTGATGCAAGCGCTTGAGCGACGACGGATTATGGCACAAGCTCAAGGTTTACAGAAGCTCCTCTTCCAGCTAGGCAGTACACTCAGACAGGGAGCGTAGAGAAAGAGGAGCAGCACCCACATGCAGGCAAGTGTGAATACTGCCATGATGCTGGAAGATTCTGCAAAAACCTTTACTGACTCAAACGGCAGCGTGAAGGATCCTGTTGCAATCAAGATCAGACCTTGCATTCCGACGATCAATAGCCAACTGGAGCATTTCCCATAAAGTGCTGCACACTTGCGCATGGCGAACATGCAGAACCACGCATAGAATAGCATGTATGCAGGATACTTGCAGTATTCCACTATCCATCTCTCGAAGTTCCAGCCGCGCGAGCGACAAAGCCCCAAATGGACAAACTGCGGGAGTAGCATAAACTGAGGAGGACCAAGCAAGGTGATGCCATAGAGCAGCAGCGTACCTTCGCTGTACGAGGCATGTGCTCTTGATCTGGCATCTAGGTCCCCTTTTTATAACCATAAGGGTACGAAATCGCTCTCCACCTGGGTACGCGTCCCATCAAATCGCAGAAGCGAGGAGGCAACGCGCTCGCGGACGAGGCGATCAAAGCGGTCCAAATAGAATTCTGGATCCTTATTGCAGAGGAGTTGTTGTTCAAACTAACTTCGCAGGTTTCTACTGGGCTGGAATCAACATGCATGCTAACAACGACCCAGAGCTCGTCGGTGTGGCTGTCAGTGTCTGTGCTGTGGCCGTACCACCTGCGCAAAGTCGCAAAAATGAGCTTCCGGTCGCACAACATCTCACTGCCAGTTCCAGGGTCACAGTGATCCACTTTGCAGCATGTGCACTCACACGCTCGAATGCTGTAGTTGGCCATCCGGTCCCTCACTGCAATCAGTTCCCGCATATGTCGCAGCCCATAGTGGAGCATGATGGGCTGGATGATGACACCCACGGGCAAGAGGAAGCCCAAAAGCACAGGCAGGTAAGCAGCGAATCTTGTGTCTTCCGAAACGAGGGTGGCTCTGTCTTCGAAGTCGCTTATGATCAAGGACCAGCCCCACAAACTTGAAATCAAAACGGACTGCGCAAGCAGAAAGAGTGAGAGCGAGACGGGTATGAACTGAATCGGTCTCGACTCTTCATCCCGCAGGAAAGCGCCTAGCTCGAAGGTGCACCACAGCCTGGAGGGTCGGCTTTCCTTGTGTATGCTCATTTACCTACTGAAACTATGGTATTTGGGTCAAAGTGGTCATGCATTTCCGTTGCAGTGCAAGGATCTTAGCTGGCTTCATGGTTTCAGCGGCAAAGTTTTGGGTTGGGTTCCGGCAGTCCAGGGCAATAGCTTTTGGTCTTGCGTTTTGGACTTCAATCTTTGGGTTGCATCGCTTCAACCAAACCGGAAACTGATAAAAACTACACAACCGCCCCGATGAAGAAAAGCATACAAAAAATACCACCACCAGCCTCGAGCAGTACTGCGGCGACCACAAGATAATGAGCTTGCGCGAGCTCGAGAGGAAGCCTGCTATGCCAAGTATGCCTGCTTGCTTCAGGTCTTCGTCATGTTGCGCGATGCATAGACGATCCAGAAACACCAACGTGCTCCTGACGCATAGTAAACGCCGAATTCTCTGCCAAAAACAAAGGCAGAAATAGAAACCGCAGCAGCACAAACAGCTCGCCAGTGGCCAGCCACCTGGAAAGACGTCAAGAACGAGGAGGCAACAGCAAAGCAGGGCGAGCAAGAAGCTTGTCCATGCGGCTGGAATGCTGTTGAAAACAATCAGCAGAGCCACGGTTTTGGAAAAGCGTGAAGTTTGCCAGTCATGGCTCAAGAACGCCTCGATGGAATCGGTATGCTGGCTCAACTGATAGTCCTTTGCGGCATTGACCTTGCTCGCACAAGTGTCAAAATGGGTGCCCCAGCCTTGCAGGCACAAGTCCGCGGCAACACCTCTGATCAGATTCACGGGGGTGTCCGAAGACAGCGACGTGCGGGTACCTTCGCGATCGCTTCTTGCGACATCCAACTGCTCCTGGTCGACGGATACCTGCACAACGTCAGGTTCTGGACACCATGGCATCGGCAGCAGGGAATTCTACCACACGATCTGACCGAGCCAATAAAGCACCTGGGTCAAAGGCTCACTTCACTTGAGCCTCTACACGTCGAGTTTGCAGGGTGAGTGAAGGTCTGCGGCAAGGCGGACTTGCACCCTTGTTCGAATTCACGGACACCTCTATGACCTCAAGGACTACTCAGCGGAATCGGTCTTTCAACAAGCAGGCTTGCCACATGCACCACCGCGATCTTTGCCTTGTACGCATATGAATCATATAAAGACCATGGTGCCGGCCCAAGTGTCGATTGAGGTCTTGAGCTCCGAGGGCCGGAGACTTACAGAAAACACAGGCCTTAGACCACCAAGACAGGCTCCAAGCCTTGTCAGTATCCTTTGAGTACACAGAGCTGGCGCAGCACGCGGCAACTGCACCCAGTGTGGCTACACATGTTATCATGACGGGCGGTTGATTTGCAAGTGGTTCGACAGTCCTCTGGGAATATCGCAACAAGAAACAACTTGAGGATTAGGCATCTCGCTTGTTTTGGCACGCAAAACTGCTCGTGGGCTCTGTCAGCCTTGGGCCGGCTGTGAGACTCAGCAGTCTGCGGCGGTTTTCCAAAGCGGCCTCTGCTGAAAATTTGTAACGGACGGAAGTGGTTGTCACCAGACCTCTCCATATGTTCAGCTTATCTGCCAGATGACGTCCAGCTCAAACAAGGCCTTGCACAGTAGAGGAAGACGGCGCAAGCCTTCAGGCCAGGGCTTTTGCATCAGACTATTCAGTCAGTTCCAGACTACCCCAGAAATTACAGCCTCATGAGACGCCAACTGTTGTTGCTGACGAGAAAAGGACGAAGGAATCACTTGCACGGTTAGCATAGCTCTGGATATGGTCATGTTGTTGATGACTCGGATCGCATCGGATCGCAGCACTTGTCATGACCGAGCCCTAGACATTTGTGCTACAGATGCATGCTGACATGCTCTGCTGAGGCTCAAGCAGACTATGACTGCTGTTCGCATGGATGCGAGCTTGCTGCTGCGAGTAGACCTCTTTGAAGAAGACTGTGGCTAGGTGTAGCTTTATTCGTCTGTTCCGATTATGATGGGGAACTGATAACTCCAAAACTGCTCTAAACCCTCAGATAGAAAGTTCAATATCTTACCCATGTTGAGCAAGAAAGTCTCGCAAAACTGCATTGCCACACAGGAAGTATATTGCGATGCAAGAACAACTTCACAACCATGCGCGTTTACACCTCTACCGCCACTTCTGCAGAAACGAAACGTGCCTTGACAGGTCCGCAGCATGGGTCATGCGGTCGAGGAGGTCCTCCACAACAGCAGGAACTCCCAACTCCACATTCACCCGTGGAGGGTTTCCCCAACTCTCTGAGTGCCACAGGCAGGAGCTCCTGCGATACAGCGCGACAAAAGTGCAGACCTCCCCATCCTGCTCTCTTCCGTGTTTTCGTGACGGTGGCTGGGTCGCAAAGATATGCGCAGAAAGCGCGACCTTTTTGCTGTAATCCATGGCTGCTTCAGTGAAGAGAAGGCCGAGGAAAAAGGGCAAACGTGAGCGTCACTTGGACCCCCATGACATTCTCTGAGCATGACATTCTGTGACACATTCGTTTCCGCCGGGGTGCCACCAATCGCAAAAAGACAGTCATCGGAGCAAATGTCACGCTGTGGCTGAAGTTTTACCCTCGGCCAGTTGTCTTCGCAAGCATGAAGGTTCCGCAAAGCTCTTGTCTGAGCATTCAAACCAGAAAGCAGAGGAGGTTGTGACTTGTGGCCAGATCCGGCGCCACAGCAGGATGAACCGTCTCACATTGCGATCTGTTGGGGGGAGCTGTGTCCTCTTTGCTTGCCACTTTCTGCGTCCACAGGCCACCAGGCCTCGCGGCCGCTGGCGAAAACTCACTGAGAGCAAACGAAGGCTGTTCCGTTTGTTGAGCTTTGCAAGCTGAAGCTCGGAGCCCTCCATGTCCATCGCGATGATTGGACGTTCCGTCAAAGCTGCTTCAAACGAGAATTTTCACGATCGTGTGCTTGGCTCAGCCCGGCAACCGGCTCTTAAAGGTCAAAATGTGAGTTGAGACAGTCGGCTTCTGCCTCGGTTTCGCTCGCAAAGCAACAAAGGCTGCGATGAAGGTCGAGTGGAGCTTGACGACTGCTTCGGCATGATCCAACGTCCGTGTCGAAGTCGCGTCTCTAGCAGAGCCTGCTGCAATGGGATATCTTGTGGACGAGGAACTTTCTCGTGTGCCCCCGATCTTCTCGGACAGCCGAGTTCCCTGGTGTGAAGGAGCCATGTGGTCACCGGTCGAACCTGGGCGGATGCATTTATCTCGCTAAAAACACGAGCGCATCTACACCACACGTGTGTCTGCCGCACCTTGCCAGCGGATTGAAGTCAGCCCAGCCCAACGACCTGATTGCTTGCATCTTTGCTCAGCTGCGAATGAACGACACAGATGCAACCGCAGTTCATGATACGATCGAAGAAATACAGTACTGGCAGGCAGTACCTTCACCACACATCGAGCCGAGCACCCTGCCTCGATTGCAGGAGCTGAACATGCTCTTGCAACTTGCCGACCAGCTCATCAGGTTTCAGCGGCATTGCCTTCGGGCCAATGCTAATGTCTGCAGCGACCCACCGCCCACCGAGTCTGGTCAAGCAAGATCAAACAGCACCTAAACCCAAGACGATGCCGCCACCGACCCTTGGAGCGTTCCTGCACAGCATGACAGAGTAGCCTCCAGCTGCTTGGCAAGCGAGGCGATGCAGTCGGTCCGAATCGGAAGTTGCGATCCCTGCACTCGTTCAGCCGTGCTTTCAACACTTCAGAAGCAAAAAACACAAGAAAGCCTCCCAGATGGTTGTCACATATGGGATCGGCACGAACTCGACGTGTGGGAGCTTGACGTGGTGCGTCAGCAAAGGTTCACTGGCCTGGCGCTTTGATAGCAGAGCCGGCCATACAGCTTCCACCCACCCGAGAATTCTACCCGTTTCGCGTTGGAAGGCCTGCTGCGTGAAGCCGAAGTCACCCAACAAAAGTGTCGGAAGAGGGTCCGAGCCCTGGAGCCTCAGCCCAAGCGGAGCAAAGCGATGCAGAACGCCTCTCTGAACGCACTGAGCTCCGGGCTTCTCGGGAAAGTCGCAGAGCCGCGCGGGGCCGAAGGGCTCGAGAACCGGAAGGTGCCTTGGAAGTTATCGAAGTATCACGTCAGCGCGCGCGTGCCGGGACTCGAACTCGTAGCCTTGGGGCCTCTCGGGGTCTTCTGGGAGCCGAGAGGCGCGGCCACGATGCGGAGCTTTCTGGCACCCTGCAGGGCGCGGAGCTCCTCCGAGCGGAGCTCCACCTTCGCCGCCAGAATGGCCTGACTCAGCGCATTTCAACGCAGTCACCGCGGTGCTTCGGTGAGGGAGCAACGTATATTCTGTCTGCTGTACACCTGTATCTGAATTCTATGTGGCACGTCGTGAAGAAGTCGCAGGACAGCGAGGAGCCACTGCCTTCTTCCAGTCATCTTCGTGAAGGTCTTGCAGCTTCAGGTCCATCTTGCGCTTGTCGTAAAGCATAGCCTCGCATGGAGTGCATTGTAGGGCACGACTTTGCACAAAGCTGCACTTTGAGATGCAAAGGTGACTTCAAACGATTTCGGCAGCTCGGCCTGCTTATTGTCCGAGCCGTCCTGCTTGTATTTAATCTCATACGGAGAATCATGAAGTTCATGAAGGTGCTCATCGATCATGTTCAGCAGTCTCGGCCAGCATCCCTGGAGGCAAAGGATGTGCTTCTCACGCCAAGGTGTGTCATGCCCCCGGCAATCCGGAGGACGGATCATTTTGTGGATGATCTTGACGATCCCTGGAGCACGCTTTTCACGAAGTTCGGTGATCCGAGAATCGCTGAGGCTTTTTTCATCAGCAATGCCGTTCTGCACATTCCAAGAGCAAACAACAAAGGTTTCGGCAACTGCTGTCCCAATCGGCAGATGGGAGGATGGAAATGTCCAGTCCTCAAGGAGAGGTCGTGTGACTGGGTGCGGGAATCTCCCCAGCCAGTGGTTCAGCATGCACTCCACACATGCCTTAAGCACAGTCGAAGACCTGTTCAGCTCCTGCCCGAGATCGCCCTCAGAGCGAGCGTCCGAACCAGGTGGGAACCGCCCGAGCTCACTCTCCACCGAGTTCAGTGCATAGTCCGCTGCGCCTTTCTCCCAGCCCGACTCCCGGATTTGCTGCTTCATCTCCACCAGGCTGCTGCCTTAAAGGGTTTCCAGCCAGGGCGGGGCTAGGGTCTACAGCAGAGCCTCTCTCTCTCTCTCTTCTTCCGCCGGGCATGAGGGGCTGTTAAGACCCCTCGGCCACTAGGGCCCCCCCATATTTTGTGGGGACTTTGGAGGAGTGTGAGATTGTCTGTAGTTTGTTCCCCTGGGCAGATCATCATGTTTAAGTAAAGCCGCTAGTGCATCCTGTCAAAAGTGAAGTGCATCTTTGTGATCCCCCAGGTACCGTTGACTACATTCTACAATCAGTTATACTTGCGTCGGTCCGGGATTTTCTTTCCAGAACAAACAACGAATTGCAAGCCTAAAGTATAAACCAAGCAAATAGTGACACATAACATATTTCCCGTGTGACCGTTTGCAAGGCTTGACGTGTCTGTCACAGCTACTGGCGATCCCCCGTTGGTTGTGAACTTTCAAAGAACAACAAACAAGTAAATGATGACCGAGGAAGTAGCCTATATAACTTTGCTGGGGGTCTGCCCTTTTGTACTGCCTTACCTCTGTTACCCCGGGTATGTGGTCCTTGTGACGGCCACATACTCTCTCTTCTTCAGCACAGGCAGAGGGAAGCGCGATCCGAGGTCCGCGCCCCCCTCGCGCGTTACCGCGCACTGGGGGGTGTACAGGTTTGACAGAACTACCGAGACAGTTTGTGGCTAGATTCACCGGCTCTCCCCCCAAAAACCACTAACCTAACCCCCAACCCGCCTCGAAGGCTAAGTGGGGAACCCCCCCTACGACCGGTGAACGAGCACTTGTCTCAAGCTTGGCGCCGCACAGCACCATGACCACCGTCTTGGTGGCTCGTTTCCAGCCGTTCGGTCACACTCGATCACAACACTTGGACAGCATTCACGGAAAGCTACAGTCACATGACAGTAGAACTTCGGGCGGTGTGCGACTGGCTGCTAGTGCGAAAAGCGCAAAAAGGCTGTACAACTGAGGCCCTGGCCGCACCAACACTCTTACACAACAGCATTCTCTAGACACACCATCACATTCAAAAGTCCGTAGTGACATAGTGAGCTGGTTCGTTGGTGTTGGGCACTGCTTCCCCCCTGTCATCGCTCAGTCAGAATCGTCTGTACGATAGCTCGCCGGGGCTCTGCGACGACTGCCGGGGGGACTCAACATACTCTCTCTCTCTCTCTCTCTCTCTCTCTCTCTCTCTCTCCTTCTCTCTGACCCACGAGGCGCTGGGGCCTCGACGGAAAACGTCCATGTCTTTTCGCACGTCGGATCGCGCCGCTTCTGCAACAGCTTCCCTGGTCAGCATCTCGCGCAGCGTCTCGGCATGCGCTGCGATCTGGCCCAGCCGGGCTACCCAGCTGCAAAAAACCGGCTGCAGAGCCGTCAGCGTCAGGCGGCAATCCTCGACGGCCATGTTCCGCTGGGCCAAATAAACTGCCCTCTCCCAGAGGCGCTTGACCTTGCGGAGCGAAGCACAACACCCCAACGGGTGTCCCCATACAGGCACACAGACACACACCCAGTGTCATATCCTACTCCGGGCAGGTCTCACCTGGAAAATGGATGATGCACGGACCCGAGAGAGCCTACAGATGCATCCAACACATGCGCAAACGGAAGATGAAGACAATGTTACCAACATCGGCTGAGCATGCGGCGTACTTCATAGTTTGGGGAGTTTCCCCAGAGTAGGTATGCAGTTGGCCCTCCAAGATCTCGAGGATGTCGTACGGGTGGGATACTGCCTTGATCTGGCCATTTTGCACATGACCGAAACGTATGACATTCGTGATCTCGAAAAAGTGGGACGGGCGAGGATCGGAAAACAAGCTCGTCTTTGCGAAGATGGTGATGAATGCTGTCCGCGATCTGTTGCCCTGCTTTAGGGCGTCCCGCAAATCCACGGTGCGATGACCGCAGTGTTTGTTGCCGGCCTCGATCTCCTCGATGCTCCAGGAAAGTGCTTTGCTCGATTTCGGGTCACGCGGATCTGTCCCTGCCTTCATGCCCGCCCAGTAGAGGTTCTTTGTTTCTTGGCATCTTGTGCAAAGGTCTCTCAGCCAGCCCACAAGGCTGCTGAGTGCCAAAGCTTCCTCCTCCTCGCGGGCTATGACATACTCTTCCATGTCAACGTCACCCGGAAACTTCATGGCAGTGAACCGGAAGCTACCGGCCGGGCGGACATCGTTCTGCACGCAAACTGCCTGCACCGCTTTTGCCAGGTCCCTGCTGAGGTCGGGGAGGAAGCGCTCTTGGATGAGTCTGTAGAGTTGGCATCGAGAGCAGGAGGAGGACAGCCCGGCGATGCAAGCCCACTTGGAGCATGCGGATTCCGTGAAGAAACGGGCCGGGTTCAGGCGCATCTTGTCATTGTCAGGCAGTGGCAAGACGAGCTTCTCCTTGTTCCCAGCGTCGATGCCCACCACTGTCATGAAGCTCTCAATAACTTTGTTCATCTCTTGTCCCTCCTCTGCCGTCACCTTTCTCTGATCCCCATCAGTAACGTCGCGCTTGCGCGATTTCACTTGAATCCGAACCAGCGGTGCCGCCGCGCACAGGGTGATGGCGATTCGGGCTTCATCAGTACTGAATTCCACATGATTTCGGAAGAGCTGGGGTGGGCCTGGGCTCAACTTGTTTGGCACATCGCCACTTTTGCAGAGCTGCTGGGCAAGTTGTGCCAAGATTGCTGGTGGAATGACTCCCTCCAGGTACATGTACCGGGTTCCAGCAGCTTCGTCGATTGATTGCGGCATGGTGGCCTCAGGAAGGCAGCACGGCACCATGTACTGTTCACGAAAGCCTTGTGCCACTATCAGCCCTTTCTGTACCATTGTCTGAAGCACGACCTCCGCCATCGCCTTTTGTTCTCCCTCGTCGAAGTCAGACTTCCACAATGCAAAGAGCGCTTGCTTTTTGACGATCCCCTCTGTGATCAACCGACGCAGCTCGGAAGAGTCAATTCCTATTCGGAGTTTCTCCTTGTACGTCTTTGAATGCTTGGAATGCTGAAGCCCCTTTCGCAACTCCTTCTTGTACTTCTCTGAATGCTGAAGCCCCTCCTCCTCCCAGAACCGCAAACTCATGATGCGGGTCAATGCAACCGCCACCTTTCTGATGGACAACAAGACATACTCCGGCAGCTCCTTCTCAAACCAGAAAAGCTTGCCCAATCGATGGAGCAGGCCAAGAACTTTCTTCACCTCATCACCTTGCAGTAGCGACGACGTCAAGAGTTCCCACGCCTGCTCCAGAGTAAGCATCGTGCAGGAAATCCTAGCCTCGACTTTCCCGGCATCATCTTCGGGCACTTGCGCGACTTCGACACGTACCCTCGCGCCTTTGGGCAGAATGAACCGCTCACCGGTGAGAGCCTGCATCGACTGGTTGGACTGCAGAACGAAACTGGAGGTTGGCAGCCCGGTCGGCTTAACTGACAGCTCCCGTTTGGAGATGATGACCTGGATGCCATCTCCCAGCCCGGTGAGAAGATCATGGGCCCTGAGCCATGACGGCAAGTATCTTTCTGACTGCAGTCCGACATGTGAATGTGGATCTGGTGGATCTGATGGGGGCCGAATGAGCTCTTCGGAGACCTTCCCAAGACGCGCACGAAGCAATTCCAGGTAGGTCTGATCACCAAAATTCTCGATCGGAAAAACATACCTGGAGCTGCATGCCTTGCAAACCCCTGCCCCGGGTCCCGTTTGGAGCTGCTGCTTCAGCCTTGGGAACAAAAGCTGAAAGTTCTCCACAAGGTTGTCCAATTCTCGCTCGTCCAGGCGCTTTCGTTGCCATTTCGTGCCGACCAAGATAATTGGCGGTGCTTGCGTGCTGCTATTCAAGCCAATGGAACCGTCGTCACGTGCATACTGCACTACGGCCCAAAGCCAAAAGCCTATCTCACGCCACGCCTCGTCCAGCGACTTGCTAGCATCGAAAAAGACCAGGTAAATGCCTCTTCCGTGGAAATAGAGAAGGTTACTTTGAGCATAGACTCCTTGACCTGCAAAATCCCAACATTCCAATCTGGGGCGAAAGGGAACCGCCGCATCGGCTGATTTCTGCATCTCCAATCGAAGGTCTCGATGAAGCAATCTCACCGGCTCCTCTTGCGAGACAGACTCCTGGCAGTCGGTTCTCTTTCGGTCCAGGTGTGTTTGCTAATCGTGAGTACTGAAACCGGCAAGCGCAAGCACACTCAAGGTTGGTCGTCAGGCCTGTTACGGTCCGAAAGGAGGCTGCAATGGCAGTTTTAAGGAGGCCGGCGCAGGCGATATCCACTAGTACGTAATGTCAGAGCGTCTTCGGGACTCCTGGATCTAGCAGCTGGCTTCGCACAACGCTGGACAGAACCGATGCTTATCACTTATCACTTTGCCAACGCATTCCCCCGAATCTGAGTTTTGCTTGCTTGCAGTACATATGCGGCTTGGGACTCGCCCTCTCTCTTTCTTTCGCAAGGGCTTAAGGTGAAGGAGCGACCTTCACCTGTGGCCTGCGGGCGCCCCATATCTGATGGAGGCGGAGGCAGGTCCAGCTCTCTTTCTCCGGACAGCATTCCGACGCAGCTTTCGCAACTCGCGATGGTGTAGCTGGGCGATGGCGATGGCGAATGCTGTCGTAGTGCAATGTCATTACAACAGGAATCGAGACACACGGACGCATACTGTATCATCTACACCTTAGGACAAGCGGGCCTGCCTTTGCGTCGATACCCTTAATAGCTTCTGAACAAGTCTAGAGCCTAGGCCCTTCATCTCGGCGACAACAGCCCCTGCATCAAACCATGCCTCTGAAGCCGGTCGAAGCTCAGCCGAGTCCTCGCCACGTCACGTGAAGTGCAAGGAGCGAAACGTGTGTACGACAACATGCAGGGCAAGCCTGCGCGTTCGTGGCGCCAGGGCGAGGGAACAGGACATCAATGAAGCTCTTGATATCTCAAGACAGCAAGACAGACCTTTGCGGTGCTCCCTGGCTGGTGACTTCAGCGAAGATAAGACCCAGGCCAATGTGAGCGTCATCTCGACCCCCACCACATTCTCTAAGTAGGGTGTTTGCACTCTTTGGGCTGCCGCCAATCGCAAGAAGAAATTCGGCGCAACCTCAGACATCGGGGCATCTGGCCATGCCATGGCCCGTGAAGAGCTCAAATCGGCTGCTTACGAGGAGCTTTCTCGCGCGAGGCGGCCGTCTGGAAAAATTGACTGCAATCGTTCCTCCAGGATGCGTAAAGCCTGAGTATCAGCTGTCTCTTCGCAATGTTTCGTAATCTGCAAAAGGTCGCAGCTCAGGAATCTCGTGACACCATGTGGTCATGCCCATGATGTGCAAGACATCTCACCGGAAGAAATGCAGCGCTCGAAAAGACAAGCGCTGCATGAAATTAGATGAGGAGAGTAATATGTGACTGCAACTGTTGTGGGCTTCCGCGATAACGAAGGTCGACTGCATTTGGCCGAGCCCCGGGCCTTTGATGAAGCCGGCTTTTGCCCTTGGTCGTGATGCTCATAGTCATAGTCCGAGTCCCCGTGCTTTTGGGCTGGCGACTGTTCTTGCATGTTGAAGATGACGCTGGCGTCGAGGGCACCGCTCTTCTTGCACGACTCCCCCTCCAGGGTTTGATTGCGGATCTCCACTCCGTAGGTGGAGTCTTGTTCCCCGTACTTTGGAGTTTCTCCACTCAACTTCCTGCCGCACAGTCGCAGCATGCAACATGATGTGGCCTCGACTTACAAGTCTGCATTGCATACCGTGGGTTGCACGGAACACGCTCTGCCGAAGACACATAACGCACCGCCCACCCACCCACCCACCCACCCACCCCTACCGGCCCACGCACCCACGTACCCACAAACCCATGGTGCACCCACTCACCCACCCACCCACCCACCCCCCGACCCGACCCACGCGCCCACGCACCCGCGCGCCCACGCGCCCACACGCCCATGCACGCACACTGATGGATTCGGCCAAGAGCACGAGTGCAGAAAGGAAGAGAGACAGAGAGGCATGTTGCACTTGCTGCTTGTGCTTGTCAGATTGCGGCAAACGTGCAAAACAGTAGTGTACTTGCCGAATCTGGACACCTCAGGGGGCCTGTCCTGGAGCTAATCTTGGCACCGCAGGGGGCTGCCGAAAAATTATGCAGGTACATGACTGGGCGTCCCCAGTCACTTCCCTTCCAGTGACCTAGCTTCGTTGGATCAGGTCAGCCACTGGAAGCCTGATCCCCCTGCAAACGATCATGTGGTTTCAAAATGGCATGCGTCATCAAATGATTGCAATCACATAAAAGGAGTGACCCTCTGCTCCCATGTGCTAGGGAGGTTCACACACACACACAGACACACACACAGTCATCCATCGCGCAGCCCCTGACCGGTTGTTTGCCAAGCAAAACTGGATGTATCCTGAGAGCATGAAGTTTTCGGGATTCAAGGCTCATCAGCTGTTCTTTTTGATGTAAACCTGTACAAGGCAACTGGAACCCTGAGACCGCGCACCATCACTGGCGAGTTCCCAAGATGCCACACAAATGACCCATAAGCGACTTGTTGCACGAACACGAAGGCGAAAAAACTCGCTTCCCACACATGTCCACGGCTTCGTTGCATGTGGTAGGACATGTTTGCCACATGCCTATGCAAAATTGATGCTTGTCAACTCTTGGTGACAGAGTTCCACACACACGGAATGTCAAGTGAGGTTTCTTTATGCGACGAACCACCTGATGCCCAGGTCTCAAGTGACCACACATCAGAGACTTTTGACATGTCAGCACATGGGCAAGAACGTCGAAGAAGCACAGCGTGAAGTAACCCTGCCTGAACCTACCACCTGCCTAAACCCCAACACGGCCTGACTACCTGAGAAGAGCTGGCTGTTTCCGAAGGTGTACAACGGCTGCAGGAGAACGACTGGTGGGGTTCTTGGCTTAGCCCCAGGCCATCCAGACAGAAAGCATAAATACCAATACGACGATGAACCATAAACAGCGAAGACCAGGATGTCACAAGCAATGGTTGCAGGCAGGTACGTGAAGAAGGCGTCCCTTCTTCATATCACAGCAAATCTGGACGGTCTTTGTTAGGCAGCGCGGAAATGACTGCAGAACGTGAGGTGAATGCCCTTGGATACAGGGTTGTCACACACACACACACCCCGCCGGAGCGGGGTGAAGGCTGATATGGATGTAGCAAGTGAAATCGCTGAGCATATAGGACAGGAAGGGCCATCGGGTGAACCTGAAGAATCTGGCAACGATGTAGGGAACGGCGTTGTAGAACTTGTTGTAGGTGCGGCGGGAGTTCATGCCGTTGATATTGTCGTCGATCTACATGTTGAGCATAGACTGATGGTGACAGGAGGCTGAGGCATGGTTGCCACCGGGAGTGGAGTATGATTCGTCGCAATGTGTAGTGCAGTCGGCGATTCGTCAGTAGCAAAGCTCGGAGCACACAAGGTGGTGGTGCGGTCATGAACAAGCTGTACTGATACTCGCAGATGGAGGGATCGTAGTAGTCCAGCCGCTGAAAGGATGGATTGAGTTGGCATAGTCCGTGAAGGGTGTCCAAGTAGAACCGGTTCTGCGACGAAGTGAACCGTTGTTGTGACGCCACAAAGCGTTGATTGAGGAAATTGCTCGGTATTCTCAGGGCAGGTAATGTGGTCATCTGGAGTACTTGCCAAAACCTGATCTCCACGAGGTAGTCCAACCACCATTCCAACTCGACGTCGTACAAATGCGGAGCCATGGAGTGCGGAGGGTCAGTGACGGGGCGAAGCAAGGGACGAAAGATAGACTGGGAACGGCTGCGGTACGCTTATAAATAAGTGGATCGGCACAAAAGGAGAATTGTTTGTCACACGTGGCGTCAGTCTCGATGTGCCGGGGTCTCATCGTCTCACAACTGGATGAACTCCGTGTCGTTGCTGTTCTTGAAGCCAATAAGGATTGTGTTCAAAAGAGGAAGAAAGAGGAGGAGCTGCAATGTTGACTCGAGAAACAGTCGGTGTCCACTTGCAAAAGGTCAAGCAATGTGCGGAGCACCAGCAGGTAGTAATCCACGGTCCAGATGGCGTGGGTCGCCAATGCGCAAGTCTGGCATTGCCGATGCGAACCCGTAAGGAGAGGCGTGCTGCAGCACGTAGATGGATGTGGGCTCGCCAACAAAGCTGGTTGCAGTGGACGATGATTGAGGGCTGATAGTGGAAGATTGTGAACACAGTGTTGTCGTGGTGGAAGCCAAAGAAGTTGTGTGCGCTCATCTTGCTGTCCTGTAATGCAGTCAAGAACTGTTGCCAGACACCGTACCGGTGCCACGCGCAATCACGTCGATGTAGTGCCAGTAGTTCCAGGGCCGAACGTGTAGTCTGCTGACTGTCTGAGTGCGGACGTTGGCAGTGACGAGGATCGAGTTGTATGACGGTTTGCATCTCGAAGCAAGAGAGGGTCATTGGGAGGATGTCAACGAACGAAACCATGATTGGAATAATAACGATCCTGTGAGCAAAGAAACGGCTGCGGGGTCAAGGATAGACGGCGACGTGCAATGGGAGCGCAGCATACATTTTGGTCTCAGCAGGATCAGGTATGAGATCTCATGGAGGAAGACGTTCCCGAATAGAGTGACGACGGCGGGCTGCAGTCTCCCGGAAAATGAGTGCCAACGGAATCAGTTGATCTTCCGGTAGGAAATGTCGGCGCCGTATGCAGGAGTTGTCCGCGACGGCGGTAGGACCGCCCCTCTCATGAGCGATGATGTCCAGCATGATGCGAGCTCGATGGCGAATGCAGTTCTGAACGTCCTGGTAGTACGGGGATGCCGGTGAGCAGCGACGCCATTGTCGAAGCCATCTCTGTCTGCGACGTTCTGCATCGTCTCCGTGGAAGGATACCGTAGTGCGTGTGGTGCGTGATCTGGTCCGACGAACCTGATGTAGTGTAAAGCCTTGTCCCCGCGGTGGTATCCGTATGCGAGGAGCAGTTAGTGGGGCATCCTGATAGTCCTTAGAAGTTGTGTAAGCTGGATCATCTCGAGGAAGCGTGGAGGACGGACAGGAGGCTGAAAGACGTTGCCCAGTGGAACACGAAGTCGGCGATATAGTTGAGGATCGTGCTCCTGTCGGTTGGGAACGCGATGATGGTTGTGTTTGTCGCGTTCCTCCTCGCTGACGGCGTGGGGGAAGAGGAGTCTCACCGAGAAGTCCCGAGTTGGCGGGTGCAGTGCACGGTGCCGTGGTGGAGGAGGATGACGAAGAGGTCGACGAAGACGAAGACGATGAAGAGGACGTGGTCATCGAGGGTGCAGAGGAGCGTGACGAGGAAGAAGAAGGAGGGTATTGGTGTTGACGGCGGCGACGTTTTGGTGGGCGTTGTTGTGGTCGCTGGTCCCGAGGATGGGTTCTGCGTCGGGTTGCAATGCCAAGGATATCTGAGTCTTCTGAAGGTGGGCCCGCGTTCACTTCGCATGCCATGTCCTGGTCCGAGTCAGTACAGGAACAGGAGCGCCATGTGAGGTCATCCAGAAGGAAGGAGTCGGATGACGCACCCGACATGATCTATGTGATCGTTGGAATCTGCTCGACCTGAAAACCTGCGGAAAAACAGCTACCCCCAGACTGAACCGAACACGCAACACCTATTTCTCAAGGGGCCGCCAACGGAGTCCAAAACGGCGAAGAACCGACCGGGCGGCGTCCTCTAATGAACGCTCCGAAAAACCGCGTTCGCGGCAAAGTTGCCGTATTTGGGGGCTAGTGTGTCCTTAGGCCAGGACAGTCGGCAGATGAGGTAGATCCTGGTGGTGAGACCCTGAGTGTTCCTGCGTGTCGTGGCCACAGAGCACGGGGAACGGAGGGAAATGCTGTTGCGGGGTAGGACTAGTCACTAGTCGAATGCGGCGTTGTTCCGTGTCCACGACTGTGCCCAATAATTCCATGCCGGGAACATGTTCCGACTCCAGCGGGAGGCCGTAGAAGTGTGGATGTAGGCACACGTCCTGAAGCCAGCTTGTAGACGACGACGAGGACGAGGAAAGTGGATCGTGATGTCGACGAGAGCTGGTCCGTGGAGAACTGATCGTCGGTTCCAACTCCCCTTCCCATATACGTAGCAGGCAGCGATTGTCCACATAGCGGGATGAGCAGAAATACCGCGAAGTCAGTAATTAGTCACGTATGAGTTGATGGAAACTGGCTTCCCATAGAGCGGCTGTCGCTCCCCACATTGACGGAGCCATGGGTGAGCCCATAGAGGCCCCACGATGTTGTACCAGAATTTCTGTGCCAACAGTGAAGAACGAGTGGCGGAGTAAAAACATGCCCAAGAAGGGTAAGTCGCGTAGGCATAGCGGCTTGTAATGAGAACCAGCTTTTCGAAATCGGCCGCGAAACAGGCCGCCCAATGAATTGCGGTCTCTCATCGTGATCTGTATGTCGGAGTCCAAGGAAATCTTCTGATGTCGAGCGAACATGTCTGTCAGGGACCTGTCCTTCGCATAGCTTCGTGGTTAGAGGTTGGGGTTTTCCGTTCTTTCAAATCAGTTGCTATTTACGCAGACGTCTTTCTATAAAAGCGAATCAAATATTGTATCTTCCAAATGAATCCAAAGGGAGCGCACGAAAAAGGCTGAGCGAATGAAATATATATCTGACAATCGAGAGCACTCGGACGACACTCGTTTTATTCGCAGCGGCTGGTAGTCTCGCGGTGCCCCTGGTAGGGCGGATGCATGTTGATGCATCCCACCCCGCGCGGCATGGAAAAGACTATTCTCGGAATGTGCTGGCATTCCAGGGTGGGTTGGGTGGGCTAAAGAAAACGACATGAGCCACGGCCTGAGCCTGACGTGGCTACTCATTCGAGATTATAACTTTGTTAGACTGTGGGACTGACCCGGAAAGACATGGATTGAAAATCACTCAAGAAATTCAAGCCGAAAGTAAAACTAAAATCTGGTAGAGAAAATTATCTTCTTTCAAACAAAGCGCACGGGATCCGCCTAGGATCCAAGTCCTCAGCTAAGAACCCCCCCCCGCCGTCAGCTAGCTCGGACAGATCTACAGGGTGAATCCCGGTTTAGCCTGTCCTTCGCATAGCTTCGTGGTTAGAGGTTGTGGTTTTCCGTTCTTTCAAATCAGTTGCTATTTACGCAGACGTCTTTCTATAAAAGCGAATCAAATATTGTATCTTCCAAATGAATCCAAAGGGAGCGCACGAAAAAGGCTGAGCGAATGAAATATATATCTGACAATCGAGAGCACTCGGACGACACTCGTTTTATTCGCAGCGGTTGGTAGTCTCGCGGTGCCCTTGGTAGGGCGGATGCATGTTGATGCATCCCACCCCCTTTCCCCTTCAGGGACGCACTACCAAGGAGTTTTCTCTGCCTTCCTCTTCTGAGGACGATGCCCCGAGGCATCCTGTGGCAGCACGGCCTGAGCCCTTCGTGCTGAGTCGAAGCTTTCTTTGGTCTCCCACAACTGATGCAGAAGCGAAAGGGGCAAATCCGAGTATGTGCATGCAATGTGATGTTCGTCCGAGAAGTTGGTGAAAATCTCGTTTGTAAGTTGGTCCGCGTACTCATTCTCATCGCGCGGCCTCCACCGTAGGAGGAGCTTCAAGGAAGAGCGAAGAAGCAAGTCAGACAACTGCATCTTGATCAACATGAGGGGCCACTTTGTTGATGACCCCTTCTTGAGCAATCTCGAGTTGCCCTGATTGTCTGTGTCCGCGGCGCACTCAACGTCCAATTCCTTTCTGTCCACAGAGGCTGTCAAGTATCCGAAAATGTGAAGAGCCGCCAATGTTGCCAGCAGTTCTGCTGAGCCTGATGCCCATTGTGATTTTCCCTCCTGATCAAACAAGTACGGTGCATCACCCGGTGTCAAGCGCAGCGAAAACCACTTAGAAGTCTTAGTGTCATCACTTAGCTCCCAACCGGCCAACACGACGAATCCGTAGGCACACTTTGCATCTGTCCTGAAACCCGCGACCTGGTGTTTAGGCTTGCTGCAGGGGTTCACCTTAAAGGTGAATTCGTCAAGCGTTCTTTCCAAGTAAAGCAGTGTCAAGATGACGGTCTCAGGTAACTTGGCGACGGTGCTCCGGGACACCGCTGATGCCCACGCATACAGGGGTGCAAGGTGAGGTTTGATCCAAACCACTATCCTAGAAACAAACCCCAACCGGCCAAGGAACTCCCTGAAGAGTCGGACCTGAACCACGAAGCGTTTGGTCCTAGCATCTTTGATCCATGAAACGATCCAGGCTCCTCGAGAGTCCGACATGCCAACTTGCCATGAACGGTAGTCGAGCTCAAAGCCCACGAAGGGAACCTTAAAACCTCCCCGAAACTTCTTAAAGGAGAAAGGGGTCCCTAAGGCAAGATACAAGACGATCCACATCACCAGATTTCGGAACTTCTGTGCTCCAGTGAACACACCGTGGATGTCGTCCACGAAGCAAAGTTGATAGAACCATTCCTGAAGCATTGCTCTGGCGACTGTCCTTCCCACGAGTCCGAACAATCTGCTCCACCAAAATGAAGCGACACTCAGTCCGAATGTTCCTACAACATTAACCCAAACGACCGTGCTTGTAGAATCCGCTTTGCATGCCATCAAGGGGTGGTCACGACGCCTGTGCTTGACAAGTCGGTGAGCCGCACTGACGTCAACCGAGATTCCAAAAGCAGCCTCGCGCGATCGTTTAGCAGAGCTCACGGCATGTGCCACTTCAGCGGGGCCCGGTGTGGCCGTGTGGTTCAGCAGCCGAATGCCATTGTTGACCTTCACCCCATGGGTACCATCATGTAGGGGACGGACGCTGCCGTCTGGCTTGGCGACCGCTCCCATCGCTGCTATGCGGACCCCGTCAGCTCCGTGCTCGGCCGCCAAAGCGGAGTAAGTGGTCGGGTACATCCGTCCCAACTTCTCTTCCTCCCTGAACTTCAGCTCCATCTCCTGCACGGTGAGCTTCGCGCTCTGGTAATTTTCTTTGACAGCCGTCAAATGGCGAAAACCATTTGACCTTCCGATCGAAAACCTGCGGCACCCTAGGTATGGTCTCGTCATAGCCCAATGGAACACCTTTCTCAAAGAACTCGTCGCCTTCTGTCAAGATTTCCCAGTCCGGGTCTTCCAGCAAGCGTGACGTGTGCGAGAGCAACCGAAGATAGAAAGGCTGTGGATCAGGAACTTCCAGCAAACCTTCGTGTTTGGCTCCGTCAGTCTCACATACAAGTGCAGCCCAGTCCTCGCGAAGGCGTCGCATCGCACCTTCATCAAAAGGCGATTCCAGAATCTGCCCGGTGGCCAACTTGAGTGCCAGCAATTGGCAGTCGGGCACCTGCTCTGCGACAAACTGCCGCACCAAGCCATTCAAGCGTCTTGACAGGTCCTTTGATTGCTTTGGTAGTGATGCTCCACGGGAGGCAGGATGCCAACGCGTTGGAGAACAAAGACCATAGCCGTCAGTGATAGGCGACTCTCTCCCGTCCCACTCCAGCATCAAGGGATTTCCGAAGTTGCCACAAAGCTCTGGTCTGAAGACATCGTCTGCTTGCTGGTCCACTCAGTTCCCGGCATCCAAGGTCCTCTCTGCCAGCTGACTGGCTAAAGGGCAGTTGATTCCAAGGTCCTCAAGAAGATGCGCATCCGAAGGCTTCAGCTCCTCAGTCTTCGACACCGTGAATGCAACGACAACCAGTCGGCGGCCCTTCCAAGGCATGGTGCAATGCAAGATGCCACGAGCATCGAAGCAGAGGCCTTCGGTGGGAATCGGCACGGCCGTCCCAAACACTTCAGAGCCTCCAAAGGTCTGCGGTATAGCACCATTGTCTTGTTGCAGCCACAACTCGCCCCCGGAAAACTGGGTAAGAGGGATTATCAAGTTCTCGCAGCAAGCATTACGGCTGTCCTTGTGGAGGGCAGTGCACACATTGTCGTACATGCTGATGGTGCTGAAAGGATGGAAAGGACGCAAACTCCGAACAAAACGGACCAAGCACTTGGTGGCCAGCGGGAAATGGTGGCATGCCTTTTTCAGGCCTGTCAAGCCTCCATTGTTGTAGGCACCCGTGGAGAAAGAGCTCGGGATGCGGCCCTCGGGGTCACGAGCTGACACTTCTTCGGCGCGAGGCGCCTCGTCTTTCGAAGGGATCTCACAAGCTAAAGCCTCGGCGTTGTGTGCATGGGCCTCCGACGAATCGGGGCCTGCCCCAGCCTGGGGGCCTACACCACTATCTGCCTGGGGGCCTAAACCACTAGCAGCCGGGGATACCGAAATGGAGGGAACTGCAGGGGAGGACAAGGGACTACCGGCAGTGCTAGAACCAAGACCCTTCGGTGGGCCAGCATTCCTTCCTGCGTCTCCCCTTGTGCGCAGCACCGAAGGAAGGATGGAATGCAGGAGGTGTTCACACAGAGCCGCCGGCCACTCGACAGAGGAGGCCGTATTCCAATCACGACCTTGGCGACCCACCAAAGGCTTTGGATGATGGCTGTGAGGGCAGTGTGGTGGAAGCGGGCCCACGTAGCGGCCTTGAGCATCAAATGTGGGCCAGATGCTGTACGGTGGCAGCTGATGTTTCAGCCGCTCGGAATTGCAGAGGAAGCGGCTGGGCTTAGCGGTGGGTGCACCGAATTCACAACGGAAGTATGCCCAAGTTGTGGCATTATGCTGAACTTGCAAGTCGCGCACCTGAGGTAACTGCCAAAATGACGCCGGCCGCTCACCGTCCTTGGTGGCACCCAGGTCCTCAGGGCTCTCAAGCACAAAGCAGCCTCCTGCGGATGCACAGGCGGATGCAGCTTCTACACATCGCTGGAACAAGGAATTTGCCTTATCAACCTTAATTCTATTGTCATCAGACAACCATGGAAAACCTGTGGGCCATGCTTCCGACCTGAGTGGGGCCGGTCCTGGCCGTTTGTGCCTAGCCCGCGACATGGTTTCAAGTGGTGGACTCGCCAAGAAAATCCAATCTCCCTGGCACAAGCACTGAAGAATTGAATCCCAAAACCGATCAGTCATCAAGTCGGGATCGTGAAACTCGTATCCCCTGCACTCGCTGACCCCCGACTGCAATGCAAGGTATGCCTGCACGGAGGGCAGACCGAAGCACATGATTCTGAGGCCAGCGGCTGGGGACCGTCACCCGGCTTTGCCGTTGCCTTGCGACAGCTCCTGGTGGCGAATGGCCGGATGTTCTTTATAGCATCCCTTGACCCTGCACACGTGTGCGCGCCCACAGTTGCCCTGGCAGCCCTGATTGTTGTATGCGAAACAGATATCCTTGCCATCAGGTGTCCTCCAGACTAGCTGCAGTCCTCTGAAGGCACCTTTCTCTTCGCCTTTGCCCTTTCCCTGCTTGCCTTTCCCTGTCCTGGGGTCCTTGCCTTTGCCCCCCTTTTCACCTTTCTCCCCCCTGCGTGTCCACTTTGATGGCATGGGGAAAGCGGTCAACGTTAGGGGAGTGACAAAATGAACTTCTTTAAGTTCGGAATCCTTAGTCACAGCAGCCAAAGCATCTTGAAGCGTCTGACCTTCATCATTGACTAGCCTGACCGCTTCTTTCCTCAACTTGTACTCATAGCGAAGTACGATCCCCCATGGGGGACGGAAGAGTGCATTGTGGCTACTGTCGTAGCCCGTGGCCTGCTCCAATCTGAGGCCAGCGACCCGCTCGCCGAGAATGTAGTCGACGAACTTGGTGAAATCTGCCATCGTCAAACCTTGAAACCAAGTCTTGGATTTATACCTGGACTGCATCGCCAACCAAGAGTAACCCTCAATCTTCAAGACTCTCCGGTAAGCTTCAGAGTTTTGAGGCATCTCGACTTTCTGTTTGGTTTTCGTGATGCGCAAATGTCCAGCAGGATCCACACTAGACTGGATGGTGGCTGTCTGAGAATCTCGCTTCGAAGTGATGGCATCAAGCTGTGCAGCAGTTGGTTCATTCTGCTCGGTCTCTTCTGCTTTCAAAGCCAAGTATTCTGGGCTAGGTGTCTCGGCTTCGTTAAGCTTGCCATATGCTGCTGAAACCGCGCGCAGCATGGCCTGCCTCTCCTGGGTCTGCAAAATTCTGGGCTGATTGAGAGCACGGGCCTCTGCCCGGAGTTCTATTTCTTTAGAGCTAATCTCTGTGGCAAGTTCCCACGCTGCCACTATGGCAGCCGTTTGCTGGCGCCCTGCGGGTGTGTCTGCTGGCACTCCAAAGTCTGTGTTGCCTGGAATCTGCGAAGCGTGCTATGCACGTTGCAAACTGCATATTGTGTGGCGAGGGATGCCCCGGCCTCCTGCAAGACATATTGCAAATCGGCATCGGCACTGTTGACTCTCTCACGCATCTCTGCTTCCGTGACCGCCATCCCTGATGCGGGTGTTCAGCGCCTCACTCGAGGCCTTCGCTCTGCAGCCTACGGTATGGCTTCCCCCGCTGAGCGCCCTCAGGCCTTTGCTTCAGCTTCCCAAGGTCTGAACCCTGATGCACTGCAAAGATCAGTAAAATGTCGTTGCGCGCAACCAACAGCAGCCTGTGCGCTCAATTCGGTACATGAAGCAGTGCATCTGTCAGTGACAAGAACTTCAAAGACGGGCGATTCAGAGTGACATGAACTTCTCTTTTGAGCAAGGTCCAAACTCAGCTCCTGTCATGAGAAATCTATGCCACAGAAACCAAAGTAAGCCTGCGGTCAAGGTCAACAGCAAGGCTTCCTATGATCCTCAATCACTCGAGGAAGTGGTTGCCTCCCCTGAGCTACTGTCGTCGGCCTTGTTGTCATCAGCCATCGACCTGATCCTGAGCTTGCAATCCTTACAAATTGCATCGAAATCCGTGGCAGCCACCTGATCAAGATATACGACGTCTTGGCACTTAAAGGGCTTTACATAGCACGCATGATTCACACGCAGTCTGCGGAATCCTGTCTTCTTACTTACACTAATGAAATACTTAGCCTCCCCTTTCGGAGCGGCGGCAGATTCAGGCTGGTCCTCCTCTGCCTCCTCAGCGATCACATGTGGTCCGGGGATGCTCTGCATGTAGAGAGGCGGGTAGCGCCCGCCAAGTCGGGGGTTTCCCCCAACCTTGTTCGCTCTAACAAGTTCATGCCTTGCCCTGACCACAGCACCAATCTCGCCTCTCTCTTCCGCGAAACTTTGCAATGCATCTAAAGCATCGGCCTCCACGTAGCCTCGCTCTCTCCCAAGTAAGACAGTCTCTGCAACCTGCTCCTGGATGCGATGTACTATCTGCCGAGCTGTCCTTGTGTAGTCAGCAGAGCCACCTCCGCCGACCTTCCAGCATCCAAGAAAGTCCCTGTCGTCCTTAGGAACCCTGATGGCTGCAGCGATCGACGTAAGAAAGTTCCTTGCCGAATGCCCAAAGAAATGTAATGCACAATCCCCTGAAAGTAACAGACGCTCTTTGTTCTGTATCCAGCGGCCCTCGACCCAGCGCGGAACACAAAGCTCCTTGTAGATCTTCCGCACATAGAGCGACACTGCAGGGGCATCCACCCCTTTGTTGCCGCAAGTTTCCCAATCTTCCGAAGCTTGCAAAACCAAGAAATCTCTTTTGTCCTTGATCTCTGACCAAATCTCATGCCCCTTTGCCAGCCAATCCATACCAGAGAAACTAGCCTTGCGGGATATGAAGACCTGCACCATGTTGATCCTTCGATCTGGACCCGTCGTCTTGGTCTTCCAAAGTTTGCAAGAAAGACCTTCAATAGTGAGCCGCATGCTCTCTGGCCTCATGCACTGAACGTCGTCTGACCTCATGCTTCCCCAAAGCATCAGAAGTGCAACAAAAGCCAAAGCCCTTGCATATCCAGGTTGATGTCCGAGTCCTTGGCCCACCCTGTAGGTGTGGTAATAGGCGATCTGGTCGACGAAGGGGAAGACGAAGACGGCAGGCGAGGAACCGGGGAGGAGGTAGATCGGCACATGTAATGTAGTTGCAGAGGAGGCGATTTCCGGGTGGGGTTCGGAAAGGTGGACGGTATTGCATCAAGTGGTGGTGGTGGTGGTGGTGGTGGTGGTGGTGGTGGTGGTGGTGGTGGTGGTGGTGGTGGTGGTGGTGGTGGTGGTGGTGGTGGTGGTGGTGGGGTTCTCGTGGAGGCAGGGGACTGTAGGTTAGCATGAACGGTGGTAGATCTCGGTGAGCCCGGGACGTGTGGATGTCGTAAGGTCTGTGGATGTGAGCTTCCAGTGGAAGTGGAAGTAGTATCGTTGGAGAAGAGGTTCCGGCGTAGTAGTCGTACGAGATTGTCTTCCTGTGCTTCAAGCGATAGGACTTGCGCAGGTAGCCATCGTACCGTGACTTGCCGCATCACCTCATTGACACAGAGCAACGCGTCCGTAGAATCAAAGCCGCGAGGGAAAGCTCTACCGCCATTGGCAAACCGGCGAAACATGGGATGTAGATGACCTTGATGTAGTGCCCTGATCAGCGGTATGGTCTGGAACTGTCGTGCTCCACGTAGTGGAGTTCTGGATCGGGAGCGCTCCCGAACCATGGTGACGCAGTAAGGTGAAAACGGCTGCAGAATGAAGTAAAGACCACATGGTAACAACGAGCAAAAGCAAGTCCTTTTAGCAAGATGCGCAATTAAACGTACGTCAAGGAGATGGGTGAAAACGTACTCGTAGTACCGGAAGTCTGGTTCGCAGAATGGACACGGTAGTCTCTGCGCCTTCCTCCTCGTAGAAATAGAACAGCTTGCAGGGAGAATCATGACGTAGTGCCAGATATGGAAGTCGGGCTAGATGTAGTCGAACATGTACTACTGAATCAAGGTGATCGCGAAGCATGGCACACCAGTCCCAACACACGGCCGCAAGGGTCATACAAATGAACAAGCTGACATGTTGAAAGGAGATCCGGAAAATCGTCTCGTTGTAGCCGTGCCGAATCAATCGTGGCGGAGAGCAACGGATGTGAACCCGTTGCATAGCGGCAACCACGGAGTCTGAGGACATGTGCAGGTACGTGGTGTAGTCCGGGCCCGCCTCGACGTCGTCATGCAGCTCGAGGGTCACATCGATATACTGCACATAAGATGCAATGTGCGCAAGGGAAGCGAGGGGGAGAGGAAGGGTCATGAGTGTAACAGAAAGGGGCTGCGGGATTCATGCCGATACAACCAGGAAGGAAAGTGAAGGGGAGGAGGGAAAGCACACACTTTTGCTCGATCAATAGCACCAGGTCGGCAGCAGGAAGCTGAATCGGGGGTTGCCATGTCGTTCGGCGGGCCTCCACCTCCTTGAGGGTCGCGATTTCCGTGAAAGAAGCCATATATGGAAGGTGCCGGCCTTCTTGAAGAAGTTGAAAATGGCAAGGGTGTAGATAGAGTTGGTGTCGCTTTGTATAAGCGTGGCAAGACGGTGTTTCACTTGATCCACGCTCATGTCGCTCCACACGTGGAACTCATAGTGTTCAGCCAGCCCAGGGCAGCCAGAAAGATCAGCGCAAAGAAACCAGGCAGGGACGACGATGTGCAGGCGCACAACGTTGGGTGGACATGCCAAGCCGGCGGCTGCTGCAGAGCGTTTGGTGGCGGTCACCATGCTGTAAGGGCTTGACCAAAATGGCAGCACTGAACAGGGAGGTCCCCCAGGAGGTCAGGAGACGGAAACGAGGGAGGGAGAGAGAAGAGCAAGAGGAGAGAGAGAGAGAGAGAGAGAGAGAGAGAGAGAGAGAGAGAGAGAGAGAGAGAGAGAGAGAGAGAGAGAGAGAGAGAGAGAGAGAGAGAGAGAGAGAAGAGAGAGAGAGAGACGAGAGAACGAGAGAAGAGAGAGACGAGAGAACGAGAGAACGAGAGAACGAGAGACGAGAACGAGAGAACGAGAGAACGAGAGAAGAGAACGAGAGACGAGAGAACGAGAGAACGAGAGAACGAGAGAACGAGAGAAGAGAGAGAGGAGAGAACGAGAGAACGAGAGAACGAGAGAACGAGAGAACGAGAGAACGAGAGAACGAGAGAACGAGAGAACGAGAGAACGAGAGAACGAGAGAACGAGAGAACGAGAGAACGAGAGAACGAGAGAACGAGAGAACGAGAGAACGAGAACGAGAGAACGAGAGAACGAGAGAACGAGAGAACGAGAGAACGAGAGAACGAGGAAAAGCACGGAAGTATTTCTGTCCAAGCAACTGAGCGTCACCACGGTCAGTGAGAAAGTGCTATGTCCAACTGTTCCTGGTCCTCTTGGTACTCGTCGAGGCGGTCCAGGTCGGCTTGCGATTGTTCAAGTAGTAGTAACTCATTGAGCCGCACCGCGTTGGACGCTCCCACGTCTAGTGAGTCTAGTGGGTTGAGAGAGTAGAACATGACCTCCGTGCCGCGAGTGGCCACCCGGTAGTGGAGGACGTTCATGTTGAGGTTCTCAAGTTCAAGCATTCGAGTGAGTAGGTCTCGTGCAGAACTGGGTCGAGGTAAGTGGCGCTGAGTCCGATAGTTGGTAATCTTGCTGAAGGTGTTGAAGCTGACGGTGGATCCTGTGAACACTGGTCGAGTGCAAGGCACATAGTGGTCCGTGGAAGCAAAAGGATCATAGGCCTCGTCGGCGGTGGTGTCCAAGATTTCTTGTGAGTCGGCGATCTCCAGATTGTCGGGGGATGGTTCCCGGCCAGGTCGAGAAAGTCCGGAACGAGGATCACGAGCGCACTTAGACCGAGACCGTGATCGGGACGTCCGTGGGGTGAGGTGCACGGTGCTGCTTGGGGCGGAGATGGTGGGGTCAATCCGCCGTCCTGCACCTCGAGATCCGAAGCGATGTGGTTTTGCCCTTGCGATCTGGCCTCGATATCGTAGTTGTCCACTGATCCAGGTGGGCCGCTCGTACGAAGTGCGGAGGTCGTCATAGCTGGGGCCGTTCAGTATCATGGTCTTTTCGAAATCATTGTCGACCTGGACGTCACGGTTCAACTCCTACAAGTGAGTCGCTCGATGAATTATGAGCTGATGCACTTCCTACATGGTCGGAGCATCACGCATTTCATCACCCGTGATGTGCATCAACCGCGACCTCCTCAACTATTACAGGGAGAACCGTGCCCTCACATGCGTGGACCATTTCTTCCTCCTCGGTCCCTTCCGCTTGGCTCCGCCTTCGTTGATGTGGTGCGTTTCTCAGACGCTGTCCTTACCTTAATGGTACCACATGAGCTCCGGACATGTACACTAGCTAGCGTATCCTCCCGCCACCTCCCACTACACCTCCGGGAGTACGTAGCAAGCCTAGCTAAAGCTAACTGGCTTCACGCAGTAGCACGGACAACACGAACTTCTCTCTTTTTAGCGTTGTGGCGAAGTCCCGCGTTAGCCCGGAGAAGAACTCTAGCCTTTGGCTAGCTAATCTCCAG